CCCGGTGAGGCCATCTCTCTCCCTCCCCTCCTGCTCAACCACAACAGAGCAGCAGGAAGAGCTGGCCACCAAGGCCACCCGCCCACTAGCTGCACCAGTGCTCCTTGGCCCCCCAAGTCATGCACCTGGTGGGCTGCAGTAGAGCAGCATGAAGAGCTGGCCACCCAGGCCACCGGCCTGGATGCCCACCGCACTGGTGCTCCTTGGCCACTTGAGCCATGCACCTGGCATGCCCTTTGTCTGCAGGCTGCCCCTCTCCCTTCCCTCCTGTTCGGCTGCAGCAGAGCAGCAGGAAGAGCCAGCGAGGCCACTGCAGACAAGGGTAAGGAGCACAGCGCACTGGGGTGGGGGGGTCTGGCATCCTCCCGGGGTGAGGCTGTGCTCAGCCATGGGGGGCACCGCCCCCAAATGCCCCCCGTGGCTTTGGGCCTGAAAGCTAGCCTGATTTTGTCTGAACTTGGAAGCTGTCTAGTATTTGGATGGGAGACCTCCCCAGGGTCATGATGCAGAAGCAGGCAATGGCAAACCACCTCTGAATGTCTCTTGCCTCAAAAACCCTACAGCATCACCATAAGTCAGCTGTGACTTGATGGCACTTTCCACCACCACTGCAAGCAAAGCATTTCACAGTATAGAAATTATTTATTTAAAACATTTCTGTGCCACCTTATCAGAGATCTCGTCAAGGCAGCTCACAAAATAAAACAATATAAATGCACTTAAAAAATAAAATTAAAAAATAAAATGAACAACCATTCAAAGAGCATCTACTGATGACTGCACAATTACATTTGGTTGCTGCAAAGTCTGGTGTGAAGCTGGTTAACAATCAATTCACTAAAAGAAACCTAGTTGACCTTGTAGTCGGCATCATTCATTTATTTATTTTATTCCATTTGTATCCCGCCCTCCCCACGAACAGGCTCAGGGCAGCTTACATTAACAGGTACCAGGTACCATAAAATCCAAATAAAAACATTTTAAACATTTTAAAATAGTCAAATAATCAAAGTGCTCACAATAATCATTCCTTCGGTAATGAAGATGGCGTGCTGTATGATGTAATAAGCCAGCTTTCCAACGCATCCATCTTCCGGCATCTCACACTGGTATGGCTCAATCATCAAGCTGGGGCCAGCCCTTTACCACAGATGTTGGTGGTCGTGGTGGGCAGCTCCTAGTTGAAAGCCTGGTGGAAGAGCTCTTGCAGGCCCTGCAGAACTGTAGAGGATCCCACAGGGCCCTGATCTCTCCCAGGAGCTCATTCCACCAGTATGGAGCTGCCACTGAAAAGGCCCTGGCGACAGCGAGCCTGGCATCCTTAGGGCCTGGGATAATTAATCGATGTTGTGACCCCAACCATAGTGTTCTCTGGGGTATATATGGGGAAGGGCAGTCCCTCAGGTATGTCGGACCCTGGCCATATAGGGCTTTAAAGGTAAGTACCAGCACATTGAAGCGAATTTGGTATGCTATTGGCAGCCAGTGCAGTGCCTTCAGTGCAAGCTGGATGTGCTCCCATCTAGGAAGGCCTATCAAAAGCCTGGCTGTGGCATTCTGCACTAGCTGCACCTTCTGAATTTGCGACAAGGGCAGTCCCACGTAGAGAGCGTTACAGTAGTCTAGTCTTGAGGTGACTATAACATGGATCACTGTAGCCAGGTCATCACAGTCGAGGAAGGGAACCAACTGCCAAATCAGCTGAAGATGGTAAAAGGCCGACTTAGCAGTGGCTGCTACCTGGGCCTCCATTGTTAAGGAGGTATCCAGGAGCACTCCCAAACTCCTAACCTCCGGTGCTGGCACTAATGATGCCCCACCGAAGGTCGGGAGTGGGATCCCCACCCCCGAACCGCCCCAACTCAGGCACAGGACCTCCGTCTTCACCAGATTTAGCTTCAGCCAGCACAGTCTAAGTCAACAAGCCACGGCTTGAAAGGCCCAGTCCAGATTTTCCAGTCTGGAGTCTGACTGGCCGCCCAACATCAGATAGAGCTGGGTGTCATCAGTGTAATGGTGACACCCCAACCCATACCTCCGGGCAATCTGGGCAAGGGGGTGCATATAGATGTTGAACAACATCGGGGAAAGCACTACCCCCTGAGGCACTCCGCACTTTAGCGGGTGTCTCCTGAACTGCTGTTCCCCTAGTGCCACCCTTTGTCCCCAACCCTGGAGGAAGGAAGTGAGCCATTGCAAGGCAAGCCCCTGGATCCCCATGTCGGTGAGGCAGTGGGTCAGCAGCTGATGATCAACCATGTCGAACACGGCCAACAGGTCCAACAGCAACAGTACCGCCGAACCGCCCTGATCCAGATGCCTCTGGAGGTAATCAGTAAGAGCGACCAGCGCCGTCTCTGTCCTGTGTCCCGGGCGGAAACTGGACTGGAAGGGATATAATACAGAAGTGTCATCCATAAAGCCCTGCAGCTGTATCGCCACCACCCTCTCAATTAATTTGCCCAAATAGGGCAAATTGGAAACTGGCTGATAGTTGGCCAATTCAGCCGGATCCAGTGATCAGCGCAATATGGCCACAATATGGCCCCTAAGTCTACTTAAGAGAGGAATCTGCTGCGGGGAGGGTGCATGTGATCCCACTGTAATCCTATACAAAATTACTTTCAGCTAACCCCATTGATTGGTCATAGACAAGAGGAACTCACTATCAAACTGCCCTGTTAAAAAGCAATCCTGAAAAAGTCAGTTCAGAATCCTACTCAACTTTGTTCAATGGGGAACACACCCTAGCAAGTGTTCTTAAGATGTCAGACACCATTATAGCAATGTAATAATTCCACAAGCTACAGCTTTGGCACTTGCCAGGTTTATTGAAATGTGAGATTATATCAACAGCACAAGCTAAAATATGCACATGAGCCCTGCTGGCTCTACTAGACCTCTTCAACTGCATTTTATACCATTGACCATGCAACTTTGTAGTTGCCAGTTAAGTTCTGCCACACAAGCCCTGATAGGTGAGATGGGTGGTAACCAGATAGGTTTTTTCAATAATGAAACCTTGCTTATGGAATGCCTTTTTCCTTGAGGCTTTGCCTGGTTGCCTAAGTTGCTTTCCTTTATGAGTCAGGCCCAACCATTTCTGTTCATCCAGGTTTTAATTAACGGATAGATCATAAGAACATAAGAGAAGACATATTGGATGAGGCCTATGGCCCATCCAGTCCAAGACTCTGTATCACCTTTAACACCATGTTATAGTCAATGTTCCCTCTAAACTGTGAAGTCTTGTGAGCAAAAATTCTACTTTGTGAGCTACTGGCATTAAAGTTGTGAGCAAGCAATTTGGCTACTGTATAAATAAGTTTTGCTCTGGAGCCATCCTTCCTGAGCTTAGACAAAAATGTGTGAGCCGGAGGCTAAAAAACTGTGAGCTAACTCACACTAACTCAGCTTAGAGGGAACACTGGTTATAGTGTTCTTTTAGTTTGCAAGCTGTTATTTCAATGTTTTCTGTTTATGCTGTGGTTGAGTGTTTTACTTCTGGATTTTAATTGGTAACTTTTAATGTTTCATGTTTTTCTCATGTTTTACTTTGTATGTAGCCTCAGGTAGGTTTCTCGGAGAGGTGGTATAAATTTTTTCTAAACAAATCAAAAGTCTTGAGGCTAAACCAGTTGCTCTTTCCTCTGTTTTTAGTGTGTATGCTAGAGCTTCAACAAGTTTTCTCCATTTTATGTTTTCTTCTAAAAGTTCACTGAATTGTCTGTATTTGTAAGATCAATATCCGATTCCCATCCGATCCAGTTACAGGCATGAGAATTAGCTAATATGACACGAGTGTGCATTCTCCCTCTCTCTATGCCAAAGGAGCATCTTCTTGTTGTTGTAAAGATTCGAATGTTATAGCAAAAGTAGAACTATACAATCCCATGACTCACTTTGGCCCCGTTCACACGAGGCGATTTGGCCCGGGAACGGGACAGTTTGGAGGCGGATCAAAGCAGCGCGATCACACCACAACATCTGGGAAGCGTTCTGCTTCCGCCTCCAAACTGGCCCAAACCCGGGAAGAACCGCCTCAAACTGAACCACCTACCTCGGTGGTTCAAACGGATGAGGCACCTCTTCCCGGGCGTCTGATCGCCGGCGCTCCCTTGCGCCGGCTCAACCCCGGGCCGGAGCCGAACTGCGCATGCTCCGACATGCGCAGATCGGCCGGCTCCCGGTTAGAGCCGTCTTTTCTCTCCGGCGTTTGATCGCGCCGGGGAGAAAAGGCGGCTCGGCCGGGGGATCCGTGGGATCCCGCCGAGCCGTATCAACGTTGGCGCGGCTTTTAAAAGCCGCGCTTTAAAGGGCTTTTCCCCTGCCGTGTGGCAGGGGCCTTTGTAAATCTGAAAGATGTGTGCTTCTCTTTAGAAGTCAGACATTATACGCCAACAGGGTAACTTTTGAAACAAGATATAATTTATGCAATAGCTATCCCTATTTATCCCATATTTAAGAAGCCTTTCTTTCATTAAGAAGCCTTTCTTTCAAATAAAAAAGGACAACTATTAGTTGGGAAATGGGCAAAAAGTCACATTTCCCCAATGAGGAATACAATACAGATTAATTTCGGAAGAAGCAGGTTCCCTACAATAGACATTAAGGTGAGGGTGGCTTTCATCCTCCCCCCCCCCCATATATATTTCAGATTATTGCTGGGGAAACGTGATTATCAACCCTCCACTAGCGGAGGAACAATTTTGTTTCTAAAAAAGATTTTAATCTGGAAGCCGTACCGTCCCCTCACCTCTAGTATGTGGCAGTTTTTATAGCTAAGGGAGAAGAACGCTCTGTGGTTCCATAAGAGTAGTTTTAGGCTTCCGCCAGGATGAGTGAGCCTAGCAGCACACATTAAGCACTGCGGGATCCGCAACAGGCGAGGCAAAGCTGTAACTTGTACACGCTGCCCAAATAAACAATTGTCTGGGAGACGCCTTCAGGCAGAAGGGGTGGAGCCCAGCTCAGGTTTCGACACGCCAGGTTAGGGCTGGCGGCTCCCCGTGTCATCGAAGGGAGCCGCATGCTACCCCGCGTGTCGCTCTGCTCTACTGGCAGCCTCTACGGTTGCTCATGGCAACCACGTCGTTGGCGCGCAGCTGCTGCAGGGCGGCCCCGGTTGTAAGAGTTCGCGCCGGCGAATCCAAGCACGTGGGGAGGCCTCTGAGCGCCTCTCATCAAGAAGGACAGGCCCCGCTTCAGAGCACGTGCGCGGGCACTGAAGGGTTAACCGCGGCAGAGAAAAAGATCGTTGCGCTCCATGAGGAGGCATGCGCAGTGAGTTGGATGGTTTCGTTCTCCTGGCCCGGGGCGCCGAGTGGTGCAACGGCCTTTCGACTCCGGGCTGATGCAACCAATCAGTTGACCCAGCTTGGGAGTTCCTTGCTTGCTAACTTTGTAAAAATGCTGAGCTCTTAAAAACGTTGCTGTCTAACGGCCTCAGCAGGCAGGGAGTGACTGGAAAAGCAGCTGCCTCTGGATTTCTGTTTGCCAGGAGCAGAACTTTTCGAGTGCCATCCGCTTGATAAAGGAAATCACCAAACCAGACCACTGGTTACCGAGTGTCTAGCTTGGGAAATTCTTGGAGGTTGGGGACGGTATTTGAGACGGGCATAATCTGGGAAGGGACGGGGATATCATGCAAGAGAGCTCCCGCTCTGAGGGGATTATTTCCTCCATGGGAAGTGATTGCTGTCCTCTGGAATCAATTGAACTGGTGGTAATACTCCAGTCCCCACCTGGAGGTTGGCAACCCTTTGTAGTCCATGAAAGTCTCAAGGTCTCGAAACACATTCCTTCCAAAGGGAATTTTTATTTTAAACCAACAGCAGAATCGTGACCTACAGTATGGGGGTCACAACGGGATGAAACCAAAATACCCTATAGTTTATACTTGTAAAATGTTACTAACCTCAAGGCGGAGCCTGCAGTTGTGAAATCACAACTGCTCGGCAGACTACAGCAATCATTTCCTGTGGAGGAAGTGGCAGCTTCAACAGTAGGGCACATCACATCCCTCCTGAGCTCCCTCCTCCCCAGACTTTGCCTGTCCCAGGCACCACCTTCAAGAATTTCCTAAACCCCCGAATTCGCAATCCTTTGTCTGTGCAGATAAAGTTTATGTAATCTGTCTTGCATTGAGACATTTTTGGGTATAGTTACACAGAAAATGCAAGGGCGGCATTTATACTTTCAAGTTACATAGAATGTCTGGCATGTAGCAAAATCCAGTAGTGTCAGAAGAATTTGGTCGAACACAAGATACCTATTTTAGGCACAAACTAGATAAAATGATACCATGTTGAGGGCTGAACTAAGGACATGATTGTTACTAGCCATGATATTAAAATGGAATTTCAATGTACAGGGACATATCAAGATGGGTAACCATGTTTGTCTGTAGCAGTAGAAAAGAGCAAGATTCCAGTAGCACCTTGAAGACCGACAACACTTGTGACAGAGTATGAGTTTTTCGGATACAGCTGGATTGTAAGTCTGTCCAATATTACCAGAAAGTGGAGGGATTTCAGATGCTTAATGACATTAGGGGGCAAATGGTAATAGCAGGTGTGATTGGATTAGATGTAATATGCAGAGGAATAGTTTCCCTTGCTCAAAAACTAGTCAAATATGACTCTAGGGGTCAGTGCTCATCTTCGTTTCCAAGCCGAAGAGCCAGCACTGTCCGAAGAGGCGTGGAGAAATCAGCATTGGTAATGAAACAGGAAACCTAGGTCTCAATTAAATTCAGGTGGATGCATTGTCTTGAGCTTCGTTATTAGTTAATGGAGGCTCAGGTAGCAGTTAATGGAAGCCCAGGTAGCAGCCACTGCCAAAGCGACCTTTTACCACCTACAGCTGATTAGGCAGTTGGTTCCCTTCCTCGAACACAATGATCTGGCAACAGTGATCCATGTAATGGTCACCTCAAGGTTGGACTACTGCAATGCTCTCTACGTGGGGTTGCCCTTGGCGGAACTCCGAAAGCTGCAGCTGGTGCAAAATGTGGCAGCCAGGCTGTTGATGGGCCTCTCTATGCGAGAGCACATCCAGCCTGTGCTGAAGGCATTGCACTGGCTGCCAATAGCATACCGGATTCGCTTCAAGGTGCTGGTTTTGACCTTTAAAGCCCTTTATGGTCAGGGACCTGCCTACCTGAGGGGCCACCTTTCCCCACAAGTTCTCCAGAGAGCACTACAGTCACAGAACCGTTTGCCCCCCAAAAATAAGGATGCCAGGCTGGTATCGACCAGGACCAGGGCCTTTTCTCTGGTAGCTCCAACTTACTGGAATGAGCTCCCAGATGAGATCAGGGCCCTGCAGAACCTTGCACAGTTCCGCAGGGCCACGAAAACTGAGCTTTTTCGCTAGGCATTTAGTTAGGAGCTGTGTTACCATCTATGCCTGGTGTCAATCTGTCTCCAGCCTGAGCCTGCCGACAATGGATGGACTGATAAATGCACTTTACTGTACTGATACCGCCATTGTTTTGTTAATTGCTTTTAATAATGTATGTATTTTTATACTAATATTGTACTTTGTCTACCTATTGGTTCTTGTTGTGTGCTGCCCTGAGCCAGCCTTGGCGGGGAGGGCGGGGTAAAAATCTGCTAAATAAATAAATAAATAAATATAAATAGTTGCAATTCAGTAGTCTCTCTTTCTAATCTCCCTTTGAAATTCCTTTTGTAAGAGAAAAACAGGTTGCTTACCTGTAACTGATGATCTTCGAGTGCTCATCTGTGCATTTACACCAATGGGTTTAGTGTGCCTGCGCTGAACCAATCGGTGTTGTAGAAAGCTCAGAAAGGATTTTCGCGCCAGAACCTTGGGCATGCGCAGGAACCCCAACCACGCATGCCCAGAGGGGCGGGTGCGGCGATCCCGCCAGTTAGAACATAAGAACATAAGAGATGCCAATGTTGGATCAGGCCAAAGGCCCATCCAGTCCAACACTCTGTATCACACAGTGGCCAGAAAAACCAGTGCCATCAGGAGGTCCACCAGTGGGGCCAGGACATTAGAAGCCCTCCCACTGTTGACCCCCCCAAGCACCAAGATGACAGAGCATCACTTGCCCCAGAGTCCCTATCTATACCTTGTGGCTAATAGCCACTGATGGACCTCTGCTCCATATGCTTATCTAATTCCCTTTTGAAGCCGTCCATGCTTGTAGCCGCCACCACTTCCTGTGGCAGTGAATTCCAAGTGTTAATCACTCTTTGGGTGAAGAAGTACTTCCTTTTATCCGTTCTAACCTGACCGCTCAGCAATTTCATGGAGTGCTCACGAGTTCTTGTATTGTGAGAAAGGGAGAAAAGTACCTCTTTCTCTACCTGCTCTTTCCCATGCATAATCTTATAAACCTCAATCATGTCACCCCTCAGTCGTCGTTTCTCCAAGCTAAAGAGCCCTAAGCGCCTTAACCTTTCCTCATAGGGAAAGTGTTCCAACCCTTTTATCATTCGAGTTGCCCTTTTCTGCACTTTTTCCAAAGCTATTTTGTTTTTGTTTTGTTTTCCAAAGCTAGTTCCTTTTGTCACTGCTATCAATATACTTAAATAGACCTGACAGCAGAGGGGAAGGATGGGTGGGCGGTGTGACTGCACAGATGACCACTCGAAGATCATCAGTTACAGGTTAGCAACCTGTTTATCTTCAACGTGGTCTCTGTGCTTCACAACCATGGGAGATTAGCAAGCAGTAGCCTACCTGGAGGAGGGTGCTGTCAGGCAGTCAACACGAAGCAGAAGATAAAATAAGTCGACCCATTTTTGTTTGATTGGAGCCACGAACATCAAGGGTGTAGTGCTTGATGAAAGTTTTCAGCATGGACCATGCCACACCCTTGCAGATGTCTGTTAGGGAGACTCCCCTAAGAAACGCTGTCGAAGTGGCAAGCGCCCTAGTAGAGTGTTCCTTAAGCGAACACAGAAGCGGGTGTTTTGCGAGAAGGTAGCAGAGCCGGATCAGTTCTACAATCCATTTAGAAAACCGTTGAGCTGTGATCCTAGTTCCTATTCTGTGAGCTGCATAGGACAAAAACAAACGTGGATCCCGCTGTGTAGGGTGTGTCCGCTGCAGGTAAAATAGAAGTGCTCATTTAGTGTCCAAAGCGTGTAGAAGGCGTTCTTCATCATTCTGTGGATTGGGGGGGAAATCCGGTAGCAAAACCTTCGACTGGAGGTGGAACTCAGATACAACCTTAGGAAGAAAGGATATATCAGGAACCAGTCGAACCCCGGCAGGTAGAAAACACAGGTACGGTGGATCGTGTCTGAATGCCAAGAGCTCACTGACTCTCCTAGCAGATGTGATAGCTACTAAGAAGGCCATCTTCCATAAGAGGATCTTCAGATCGCACGTTGCGAGCGGCTCGAAGGGTGAGTTGACGTAAGACCAGAGGCAGGTCCCACGGCTGGGCCAGGTGTTTGACCCGGAGGGTATAAATGCAGCAGTCCTCTGAGAAACCTTTTGGGGAGGGTATGCGAAACAACTGTGGACCGTCAATCCGGTCATGGTAGGTAGAGATGGCTGCCAAGTAGACCCGTATTGACAAATGTGAAAGGCCTGCATCCACCAATGAAAGTAAGTACTCTAAAACTTGGTTAAGGCCTATGGAGGAAGGTCTGGGCTCAGATGACCCCCAAAAGGAGCAGAATTTAGAACATTTGTAAAGGTAGGATTTGCGTGTCGTGGGTTTCCTGGAGTTCAGAAGCACTTGTGCAACGTGTGCAGAGAGAGAAGCTTGGGTATCCTCCATGCAGTTAATTTCAGTCGAGGAACGTTGTGGTAAAGGAGCCTCGTGCTTGACAGTAGAAGAAGGTCGGGGGCTGGGGGGGAAAGCTGGAACTTGTTCCTCATGAGATCCAACAGTATCGGAAACTACGATTTCCTGGGCCCCCAAGGAGTTATTAGGATGCAGTTCACATTGTCCATCACAATCTTGTGAGCCACACGTGGAAGCAGAGGCAATAGAGGGAATAGGAAAAGAAGGTTGTGAGTCCATGGATATAGGAGTCCGTCTCCTAATGAAAGCGGGTCTGCCCCTCCGCGAGTGCAAAATGGAGGGCATTTCTTGTTGGACCTGGTGATGAACACGACTACCTTGGGGAAACCCCAAAGACGGAAGGCTGGTAGTAGATAGATCCAGTTGATCTCCCAGTCGTGGAGGCGAACTTGACCTCGACTGAGATGATCCGCTTGGATATTCAGGCAATCTTGGATATGGGTGGCCACAAGAGAAATATTGTGGGATCTGCACCATTCCCACAGTT